AAAAACTTTGTTGTCGACCACTGAAAAAAAAAAAAAAAAAAAAAAGGAAATCATCATTCTCTCCATCATATGGATTTACTTTTATCGGCTAAACACCGGCCTCAAAGCTCCGTGAATGTTGGTGCCGTCACTTATTGATCCGCGATCGGTAAATGTAGCTTGTGTTCACGCTACTACGCTACTTAATAAAATAGCTTCGCTACTGAAAAGCTATTTGATTTAGAAAGTAGCAATGCTACTGCCCCGCTACTGAGAAATGCAGGTAAGCTAGTAGGGTCACTACTTGTAGCGACGCTACTACCCAACACTGCTGACATCCATAGTAAGAAAGTAAAACACTATAGAAGTCAATGGTTACAGGTTTACAACATTTTTCAAAATATCTTCTTTTGCATTCATCAGAACAAGTCAAGGATAAAACATGGTGACAGAACTTTCATATTTTGGGTGAACTATTCCTTTAAATAATTTACTAGCCATCTAAAAATGTTTAAATAAAGACAGAATCATATGCAGACAATATTATAAACAGCACAAGCTCATTGTAAAATAGTACTCTTGTATAGATTTCTGGAGAGCGCGAATTATGTAGCCAGAGGTACGTATGGCTGCATTTCGTCTTTAAAATTGACGCTATGAGGTGTTATGTCACGACCGACGACTTCTGTTTCATTTTGCACTGCCAGCTGACCACTTACCTCCGTGTAGATGGCTTTCCCGCTGGTACCAGTTTGCTCAGTAGCTCGCCATGTACGTCAGCAGACTTGAGATGCAGAAAGGAGTTCACATCGACAACAGGGTTTGAGTCCGGTGAAGAACAGTTCCAGAAATCAGGTAGAACAAAAACAAAAGGCAAAAAATAAAATAAGTAAATACCAGGGTGAGAACTTGGTAAGTTCTGAAAATGTGGTACAAATCAGGCTGCCACGGGGGCTTTTCTTTTCTAGAGTGCTTTTGAAAACACTATCGGCTGGGTTTAGGGAAGGGGGTGGGTGTTGTATCAATTAGTCAGTCAGTCAGTCAGTCTACAGCAGCCTCTGGTGGATTAACGTGAGAAGAGCAGGTGTGAATTGCATTCACAAAAGAAATTTGAGGTCTGAAAAAGCGTACACAGCGGCCTCTGGTGGATTTGCGAAAACAAAAACTGCAAAAAAACGCAGCTCCTTGGACATTTCGCGATCTCCAGAAATGAATACAGGGGTCTGCATCAATAATGAGCCTGGGTTGGTTATAAACTATGCAACAGATACTTCCCAAACTCCCACTAAAGCCCAAAAATCGACCCAAAGTGCTGAAACATCACAACAATCCTATCGTAATTTCATTTGGCTAAGCCTGAACCATTGAAGTGATTGTTGTAATTAATTTGGAAAGGTCAAAGGACCCACTTGTGCTGCTGAGATATGTGTAAATGTGACTTTGGTTGGGGCTGGAGAGTTGAGCGCGGCGGGCCTCCAGAGACCGTCGACCTCATTAACACACCAAGCCCCCTCGTTCAACAGCCACTTGTGCTGTGATTGGCCTGATTAAGACGAGGAACGCTCTCCACGCAGAGCCTCATTACAACATCACACAACCTCCCACCTCACATCACTATTAATACGCCATTAAGACATAATTCACAAACACACAACTCTGACTTGGAGGAATATGCAGAGCGGCGGTTAAAGGGCCCCGGGGCCCGATGCAGCCGCTCTCGTCCCCTCCCCGAAGAATACTAGACGTGGCCATTCTCATTCAGCACACAGAAGATCACATCTGCGCGCTCGTAATGTGCTTAAGAAGCCTGCGTCCTCCTTAATCAGCTCACTTAGGTGAGGAGGTGAGCGGGCCGCCGCGTTGGGCTTGGCCATGCTTGCCTTCTCTGAACTAGGGATGCAACGATTATGGATTTTGTTGCTACAGTTAACGTCTGAGGAATAATCATTGTTATTATAGATTAGTTCATTTCACAACACTGTTAGTTTATAAAATTGCACAATTTTTAATTCACACTTTACAATAAGGTTTCATTAGCTAATGTATTCACTAACATGAACCAATAATGAACTATACTCGTAAAGCATTTATTAATCATAGTTCAACATCAGTTTGCAACACTTAATGCACAGTGAGTTAACATGAACTAACAATAAACAGCTGTATTTTCATGAACTGATGTTAACAGACATGATTAAATACTGTAATTAACATATTTTACGTTGCTTGTTCATCATAGTAAATGCAATAACTTTAACTAATACAACCTTATTGTAAAATGTCGTTATATTTTAAAGTGTTATTTATTGTTGCTCAGTTACCACAGTATTAAACTTATTCTTTACATACGAGCAGGTGCAAGCATTGGAATCTTGTTGGGTTGAGACTTCCAGTCTCATTCACTTCCATTTGTTTTTAGACGTTAAAAACAGATCAGTAAGCTTCTGGATGTTGCGAACTGACATTTTCTTATTATATTATCCTTCTACTTGATTGTAGAGCAAGTTTTCTGCCGTTTATTATTCCTAGTCATTTCTCCCATATACAACTGAATCATAAGTTCTAAAACAATCGCAAAAATGAGCACCCTTAAACTTTGCAGACCAAGGCCAATATACCGTAAAAGAAAAACTAAAAAAAAGGCCATTTGCTGTTTAAGAAAATTGAAAAAGGTTCCATTCAATCTTCCATTGGTTTTTGGATGTTAAAAACATCGTTAAGCTTCTTGATGTCGCAAACGGATATTTTCTTATGTTATCCTTCTTTTATGTGGAAGTCATGAACACACTTGTTTTAGAGCAAAAACCTAAAACACAATGGTAACACTTTACAATAAGGTTCATTAGTTAATACATTTGCTAACATGGACTAATCATGAACAACACATGGACAGCATTTACTAATCATAATTAAACATTTACTAGTGCATCATTAACATCCAAGTCCACGCTTGTTAACATTAGTTAATGCACCAATTTTTATTAACTAACGTTAACTAACATGAACAAATACAGTAGTAGATGTATTGTTCATTATTTGTTTATGTTAGTAAATGCATTAATTAACATTAACTAATGAACCTTATTGTAAAGTGTGACCAAATCACTATCGCAGTCGCAAAAACGAGTGGACTTCCGTATTTCAGAATAAGGCTAATATAGCACAAAATAATAATACAAGCTAAAAAAAAAAGTCAATTGCTCTCTTTGGAATTAAAGAAAGTAAAAAAAATCCATTGACTCTTCCATTGATTTCTAGATGCTGAAAACAGATCGTTGAGCTTCTTGATGTCGCAAAATGATATTTTCTTATTATATTATCCTTCTTTTTTATGTGGAAGTCATGAACACACTTGTTTGTAGAGCAAGTAGTTTGACCATTTTCTGCCATTTATTACTCCTAGTCATTTTTCCCATAGGCAACTGAATCATAAGTTCTAAAACAATCGCAAAAATGAGCGTGCAGAACAAGGCCAATATACTGTAAAATAAAAAAATAAAAAAAGAGAATAAATTGCTGTCTTTGGAATTAGATAAAATTGAAAAAAGGTTCCATTAAATCTTCCATTGATTTTTGGATGTTAAAAACATCGTTAAGCTTCTTGATGTTTCAAACGTAGATTTTCTTATGTTATCCTTCTTTTATGTGAAAGTCATGAACACGCTTGTTTGTAGAGGGAAAAACTTTCAGCTTGACGCGTGTCGAAGTGTCATTTTCACGTTTTGCAGCACACTGTTTAAATAGCAAATGCATTTGCGCTCTATGTGCACGCAAAAGGCGTTCTGGTCTAAAAAAGGAGGTGTGTTAAGGCGCATTGCTATTAACTAAAATACACTGTTCAATAGACCAGATCAAAGCAGGTCTAAAGTCCAGTGCAGAGAGTGTTAGTTGTGCGCCTCGCTTACACATTGCTTAATACACACAGGATGTACAGCAATACGCAAATATCTTTAAAAATGAAAAAGAATTAAAGGATTAAAATATTACAGTAATTATTACTTTGTACATAAATATAAAAACCACCCGCCTCCATGCGTTCTTTATCTCGGGGGGGCTTTTCAGTTTATTCATGACAATTTGCTTTTGTATAATGTTATTATTATTATTAGCAGTATTATTTATTATATGCATATTTATATTTGTTTTATTTAAAAACAAGCTTAGATTTGTCCACCTGTCAGGTTTTAGACCATATGATGCACAGCATGTGTATTTGAATATAACTCAGTTTTTTGAGCAGACTTTGTTGTTATTGTTCATTTATTCGTTTGCTTTAAGTTAAAACTGAATTTAGAAATAGTTTAGAAACAAATCTTTGCGATTAACAAACAAAATGATTTATGTAGGCTAATAGATGTCTGTGCAAACAACATGTTTCCCTATCCACGAGAGCGAAAGTGAAAGTAAAGAATGTGGAGGCTCATCTCCTATTCTCTTGCTGTGGATGCTCTGTTTATCTGTTTTCTCTCTAGTGAAGCATTCAGTTTTTTCCACTTACAAAGTCCGTCATGTAAATAGCAAATAGGCTATGGCATGACACAACTGACTCTTAAAGGGAATGGGAGATGAGACTCTGATTGGTATATTCTCAAAACACACCTATAACTCATTAAGAGAATAAGCTCAACCCTGTTAGACCATGTGCCACGACACAAAGCAAATTTTTTGATCCTTAAAATAAAGGTGGATTCTGACGTCTTAATGCTTTTGCGTCCTGCGCTTTGAACTTTGCGCCAATATCATTAAAATAGAGCCCCATGTTACTTAAAAAGTTTAAAGTTGAAGCTGTCGCTTCGCTGGAATAACTTTTCAATAGTTTCATTCCACACAACAAAATCACACTGTTGCCGGGCCTTTATGATGTATTAACCATGTCGAATTTGAAAGTGATATTGTTTAATCGCTGCATCCCTACTCCTAACCAATGTTTTGCATCTGTGGAAATTGTCTGTAATTTTTTTTGTGTGTGTGTGTGTGTGTGTGTGTCGCTTTCTTTTCTTGTTTGCTTTTGAAAATCGGAGGTGTCTAGTCACATACAGGTCTTAGCAAGAAAGAAAGTTCGAGAAATCCAAGCTGCCATCAAGGTACGTCTGGCTCTGCCCAGTTGCAGGGGGGCTTTTCATCGCCATGGTTACAGGCTGTTCCTTTGTCTTCCCTCCCCTCCCCTACCCCGCAGGTGTCTAGTCACATTCAGGTTCTTGCCAGAAGGAAATCTCGTGAATTACATTCCAAGCTAAAGGTATGCGCTTTTCTGCTTTCGGGCTTGTGGTTGCCATGCCATGTCTCACTTCCTGTTTCCTGCCTAATGCCTTGTCGCTCTAATTCCTGTAACCTAGATCCCTCGCATGCAACGGCTTGTTTAGCATACATAATTGAACGCCTCGGCCCCCGTCATTCTCCTTTCTTGACTGTTTTACTGGCCGTTTTGTCTCACTGACCGCTAAGTGCATGTGCTGCTCTGAGTCTGTAGGTTCTGTGGTGACTCCTGGTTAAATATAGAAGGAGTGCAGTAACTATCGGCACAAGCCACAAACCTGGAAACCAGCATATAGGTTTTTGGGGATTAATATGGATGTGAAATTCAATAGGTCTGGAGAGCAAAGGCAACTATTAAGTTTGTTCCCTAATGCAACATTATTTTGTCACTCAACCACTTGAAACAGGAGTTTTCTGTCCCTGTAATTTTGGGGGCTGTATTTTTAAAACTAAAACCCCTCATGTTTAGTCTTTGTGGCGTACATAACTATTTTATGAATCAATTTATTTGTAAATGAAGTCATGGTCAGTGTTAAGTGACTGCAGGGATAGTTTTTCATGTCATTTTGGGATAAATCACGGACTAAACCTTTAGGTTCAAATCTGGTTTGTATTAAATAACTTCGTTGATCACTTTTACTTTGTAAATAATAAAATAATCATGATTAAATGTTACGTTTCATTTTAAAGATAGATTAAAAAAGAAACTTTTTCATATTTAAAGGGTCACGAAACACCAAAACACATTTTTTGAGCTGTTGACAGTCGTATATGTGTCCCACACTGCTAAAAACACTATTAGGACACCTATATTTCACTAAAAAGTGTAAATTGGTTGTTTTTGCGTTATTTCAAGCAAATTCGTACTTCCTGTTTGAAACGAATTTTTGAAGCTGCGTCACGGTCATGACATAATTGCGTGTATTCCAGCGTGCAGACTGGACGTCTGTGCCAGAGTGAGTCTTATTACGTCTTACAGTGTGATGCATTAATGCATGAGTAAAACTTGGTTCAAACCAATCAGCGCGCTCTATTGTGCAACTTCATTAATAGTCATTTGTGTCACCGTGCTTACACCACAAAGACGCCACGTTGTGTTGGCAAAACAACCGTGAAGTGTTGCTTTTATAGTTTGCTGCCGTTAAGTTTCGTTTTTATCTTCTCTCTGTGAGAGCTTATCTGGATCACGTGTGGATTACAGTGTACGCGACGCTCGACAACAATAACTTACGTGTCTAAGGAGGATTATTGTTTACCTGAGAGCTGTTCTCATCTGCAAACGCTGAAATCTGGATTCGCTTGTAGTATTCTCTCCATATAGACGTGGCTCTAGTTGCTGGTGATTGTCCTGTCTCTACAGATTTGGTAAGTGAGCGACCAGTGCTCTTTGTTTATTCAGTTTGTTCGTATCGAATTAAGTTAACTATTGCACTTAGTGCAGACATGTTAGCACCGCATTTAGTGACAGGAATAACACACGCAGCTTTCTGACGCTACCTGCCGTGTGCATCTAAGTTTCCGGGAAATGCGGAGGTTTTTTTTTTCTCTCATTCGCCGTGCGGTATCAAACATGGCATGAAAAATACACGCTTAGATCAGTTCCTCGAATCAAATATCTCGTTTGTCGCGAGAGGCATGAATGAATTCTCTGAATGAAAGAGCCAAACTGCAGTTAAAGTCCAACATTTAATAATTTAGCAAATAATTCGACTACAGATGTCCATGTAGGTTAAACACCATCACTTTCTCCTGTCTGTGTGGGTGTGTATTTTGACTCTGAAACTTAAACGTGCACAAATAGACACTCCCTTACCATCCCACTTTAGTTCCTCCGACACTCCCCCTTAACAGAGCTGGACACGCCCACTTTTCTGACTTTTTCCAAAGTAGAGGTGTGAAAACACCCTGCTGAAACGAGGGGGTTTCATGGCCCTTTAACAAACCGTTTACTACGAATTTGATGTAATTTTTCTCACATGGATAATTGAATATTAATCAGATGATGTCATTACGCTGCTGTGCCATCAGCCAATCCTTGCATTGCTGATCATGATTTCGAGGATCGATAGATCTGTCCTTCAAAACACGCGCAGCGATCTCAGATCCGTTCATCCAGGGGTCCGTTCTTCGTACGTGGATTACTCAGTTAGCTGGATTTGGATGTTGACGATTTGACACGATCCAGGATCGTTTCGTTCTTCAAAGCTGATCCGAGAGTTGTTGTCATAGCAACAGTTCTGCTAGGACAAACCTGATCGGGAGCAGGTTCAATTTATATAAACAGGATTAGATCGGCTCAGTTCATGCAAAGATAATAGAGAAAGTATGTTCTGAATTCTGATATTTTCTTACAGTTGTAGTTACACTTGGGAAAAGGTACATATTTTTTAACTACATATATAAAGTTATAGTCATTAATAAAACCAATAAAGTTATACATATTAATAAAACTTATGCAATCTGCACCCTCGAAATGAAAGTACAAAGACTGCCACCTGGTGGTGCTAAGAGAAAACTTATTTATTTGAACTTTTTAGATAACTTTAGTACAAATTGTGTATAATAGAAATGCACAATATGTGACTTTTTTTTAAAGCAATAATACATTTATGCAGTCATGAACATGTTTTGACAGTTACTATGCCAGTGATTTGATGCTTCACAAAAGTTGCAGACGCCTTTACCAATATGAAAATGCTTTTGTAAACAACCAGTTATTCTTTACACCGATTAAAAAAACGGCTACTATAATAAAGAAAATATTTTCTAAATGTAGAACTAAATACATTGATTTGCATTGAAATACATGATGGATACTCTTGACACATGAAAGTGTAAAGCCTACAGCTCACAACAAATGTGGAAGGTTATTGCGTGTCATATTTAACAAACCGTTTACTGCTCATTTGCTGTAATTTAGCTGACATGGATAATTGAATATTAATCAGATGATGTCATTACGCTGCTTTGCAGTCAGCCAATCATTGCATTGCTGATCATGATTTCGAAGATCGATAGATCTGTCCTGCACAACACACGCAGCGATCTCAGATCAGTTTATCCAGACATTCTAATCTGATTCACGAACTTGTTTGAAGAACCAAATTAGCGAGAGATCAGTTGTCAAGATTAAAAGATCCAGGATCTGCCAAATCATCTTAGATCATTTAAGTGAGGTACGAAGAACAGACCCTGGTGTACACTGCATACACTAAGCTAACTTATTATTTTTCAAAAATGTAAGTAGATCAAAGATAAAACAATTAAGTTGTCCCCAAAAAACTCAAGAATTGTGTTTTAAATACGTAGTTTGAACAAACACCAAACACCTTTTTTTGAGTGTAGGATGCACAGAAAATGTTTTGACGGTCACATTGTTTTCACGTTAGCTTTTAAACTGCTAATAGTTGCCTTTGCTATTTAAACAAGGATGACAGAAAAAACAACAACAACAACAACAACAACCTTGAAAGGCCACTGCACTGCGCTGGTCATATGCATGTCTGTGTTTTGTTTGCATGTATGTGTTGTATATGAAGTGTGGCTTCAGCTGGTGAGAGTGGCTGAGAGCTGGAGGTCAGAGTTCACCGCTTAAACAACACGAGCGGCCACACGACGAGCACAGTCTCGAGTAAAAGCAGCAGCGCATTGCCTTTATCTCTCCTGGAGTTTAATGAGGTCATCCGTTCTTCCCAAACGCTCTGCACAAGAAGTCTGGCCCAAAGAGGCCCATTAGGTGCTTTTTCTGTGGCGTTCGCCTCTCCTCTCGCTCTTTTTCTTGGCTTTTTTTTTTCAATAACCCACTGGCCGTCAAACGCTTTCCTCATGCTGCATTAATGAAACTACTGAAATCACCCCCCCCCCACCCATTCTCTCCCACCATTTCCAAACGTCCTCCCCTGTGTGATTCAGCCATACAAACAGCAAAGTGTGCTGCATATAATCACCTTACATCAAATGCATCTCATCCACAAAGGCTGCGGCTTACAAAAAAAGGGGGCCTTTTGTGGAAGGGATAATCTGATAATAAATTGACCTGTCATTTAAGATACATCTGCAAGGGTCGTTTCCTAATGTCTGTGTTTACTGAAAAGACCTTGAGGTTGGTCTGACTTCCCTGTGTCTTTCTCTTTCTTTTTTGTGAGGTGATGACTAACTCCTTTTGACCAGCACACTTTTTTTTTCCACAGTTCCCAGTTTACTCAGATTAATGACTCCCCCAATTTGTGTGCGAGTGCATGCGTGTGTGTGTTATGTGTGTGTGTGCGCGCCTAGTGAAGCGTCTGTGTGCATTTCCGCCATGAATGGCTGGTCTTTCAGGGACACTGGCGGCTGCCTGAGTAAAAACAGCCAGCTTTTGTATGGGTCTCTGTCTACTCTCATCTAAAGCAAATTAGAAATCAGGAGCGGGGAAGAATTTGAGCTCCCTCCTGCCATTTGCAGCGTAGCATTATAGTAAACCTGCCCAGTGTGCTCTTATCTGAGACATGTTGACTGAAATGACTGTCATTATGGTGCCACTCTTTGAGCTGGTCTGTAATGAAACCCTAGCCACAGTGATCTCAAACTGCCATATTATCAGCTATAAATCTTCCCCAAAGATGCTTTCTGCAGTTCATCTGCTTGACCAGCGCTCACGCTGAGTCCCTAATCTTGGTTTTGCTATTAGCGCGTGCAGCGGGACTTCAGAAATCACTGACATTACATGTATTTATTTCAAAATTTGCAATTTGGTCATATTTGTAATTAGTAAGCTGTGTTATATTCAAAATGTAATCACTGTGTAAAACTCCTGATGAAAAGACCAGCTTTATATTACTATTGTGTTTTATTGCTGGTTAGGTTTGTTTTCAGTATTCCTATTATGAAAATAGGCAAATTTTTCAACTCTCCTAAAGTTAAACAGATGAATCTTGGCATTTTTGATTCCGTCCAGCTGATCTCCAGGGGCCTCATGTACGAAGACTTGCGTGGAAATCTTACTAAAACATTGCGTACGCACAAAGCTGTAAATGTGCGTACGCAGAAAAAAAATTCAGATGTATGAAACACTGCGTACGCCGAATCTCACGCATATTCTTTTGTACATCCGAATGAACGTGAAACTGAGCGCAACATGCACGAGCACAAAACCCCTCCCTGCCTCCGCCCCCGTATGAATATGCTAATGACTATGCTAATGGCAAAACCCAACGAAAAAGCAATGTCAAAAGCAAGCTAGAAGAGAAACTTTGAACAGAATGTGAATTGTAGGTGCTGCTTTCGGAGGTAGACCGGAGAAAAGCGGTGTTATTTGCAAGTTTGTTCTCCGGAATTAACAACAAAAGAAAAAAAATAGAGTGGGAGAGTTTAGCTGATGCGGTTAACACAGTCGGGTCTGAACATCGCACTGAGTGCATTAAAAAAATAAATAGTCTGGTTTATATCTGTAAAATGTTGCAGCACTCTTAACAGTCTCAGTGGCGCGCTCGTAAGACGCATGTGATCATGTTTTGACAAGTTCGAGCATGAACTCGGCTCGAATCCAGCGTCTGATGAACTCATTCTTCTTTTTTTCCGCCGCTACATATCAGATTTTGCCAACTATTTATCACGAGAAAGACAAGTAGGAATCATCAATAAGTTTGTGCATCATATTTTATTTGCACATTTATTGAATGGAGATGTTTCTGATTCACGTATGCAAATTCATTTTCAGATAGTGTCTTTATAGCAATGTGCGTGCAGTAGATAGCTCAGATTACATTGGGAAAACAGGAGACCGCTGCAATTTGCGCTTTAATGTTTGGCTGCTCAACTGTATGGTATGGAAACCTTATTTACCTGCTAGATGAACCCGTCTCATACAGCTGCCATTGCAAGGCTCAGACACTTTGTAGAGAGGAATTTAACACAACTGCCTCTAGGAGTCGCCAATGGAAATAAAACAGATACGCACAAAAAAATGTGCGTACGCCTGCCAGAAAGCTGCCGTGAAGCTGCGCACATTCCCACGTTCAGTTCATTGTTAGTAAATCCAAACGTGAGCGATTCTGAGCGTGAAACCTGGCATACGCAAAGTTTTTGTGCGTACGCAGTGTTGATACATGAGGCCCCAGGTCTGGAATGTTTAGCTTAGCACAAATCATTGAATCAGATTAGACCATTAGCATGTCTCTGAAAAAAAACCTATTTCAATAATTATCCTATTTAGGTTGACTCTTCTGTAGTTACATCGTGTACTACGACTGATGGAAAGTGAAAAGTTGTTATTTTCTAGGTTAATATGGCTTGGAACTAAGGCTGCACAATATATCATGTCAACATCGATATTGACATCTGCAATAGTCACTTCGCAGTATGTTTAATGTTAAGTTTATATACCAGGACTTTAGTTGACCAACACAACAGATCAAAACTACAGGGATTTGTGCAGTCACCTCAAAGCTGAGTCCCTAATCTTGGTTTTTAAATCTTGGTTATTAAAGGGGATCACCCCTTTAATATGAGAAATAGTTCACTCTGGTCTGTATTGTAAACAACGTTAATAAATAAAATAATAGATAATATACACTAACTGACAAAAGTTTATTCGCCTATCCAAGTTTTAGGTACAACAAATAATAACGTGACTTCTATTTAATCATTTGGTATCAGAAGTGGCTCATATGACAGGCGAAGGCCTCCAGATTATACTTATTTTATCAATTAAAATTTGATCATGCCTTGATTTTTTTATTATTTAGTTAGGACAGTAAAGTCTGACTGTGCTTACAAAAAAGTCTTGTCACTTAACAGAAATAATGTCCAGTATAGAATATAAAGTCATGCTGCAGTGGAAAAAGAATTAATATTGTGGGAGGACTGCATCCATACATCTCTGCAATGACTCAGATCACTTATTAATAAAGTCATATGGAATGGCAAAGAAAGCGTTCTTGCAGGACTCCCAGAGTTCATCAAGATTCTTTGGATTCATCTTCAATGCCTCCTCCTTCAACTTACCGCAGACATGCTCAATAATGTTCATGTCTGGTGACTGGGCTGGCCAATCCTCCACTCTGCAGATCTCTTGCAGGCCCCCAAACTGAATGTAATCCCAAACCATGATTTTTTTCTTCAGCAGACTTGACTGATTTCTGTGAGAATCTTGGGTCTATGCCAGTTCCAGTAGGTCTTCTGCAGTATTGTGATGATTGGGATGCAGTTCAACAGATGATCTACCTTCTGCCAGTTTTCCAAATCATCACTAGAAGTCAAGTTATTATATGTTACTCTTACGACTGGGATAGATGACTAGACTTTTGTCAGGGAGTGTAGATATACATCGACCAACCCTATAATGGTTGTAAATGCATAATCACACTAATCAGTCTATGCAAGAAAAATAATAATTCAAAAGTCTGAAACCTCAAACCTAGAGCACAGAAAGACATCGTAAGCGTTCACAAGACTGTTGTCTCGTAAAATGGCTGTTTGTCTGAACTGAAAGTTTACTGAAAGTAAAGTCAAATTAGATGCATAGTTTGAATAGTTTCACCTACAGTAACGTCTGAAATAGCGAATCTGAGAACACTGTAGGTCAGAATACACTAAATATTCCTCAAAACACAGAAAACCTAAATGCATTTTATTAATAAACTAGATGTATTTTAAATAAATACATAAATGACTGAAGCAATTATTACACGTAAATTTGACCCTCCTGATCGTCAATGTATAATTCGCACACTGCATGAGGGTGATAATTAATAACGTAAATTTCCATTTAGGTTGAACCAACACACTTGGTTCTACATCGAGCAACCGAAACACAATAAACGCTGGTCTTTTCAGAAGGAATTAGTCTGTAAATCACATCCATAAACTGTGGACTTGGTGCAAATATTTCGTAGGTTGTTTGATTTGAACAGGCCAAAACCTGCAGATTGAAAATTGACAGTGAACCCTTCTTTGTTTGCGTTTAGGTGACAAGCATGGTAAGTACGAGTTTCTCAGCGCTCTTGACTGTGCTTCTACATATCGCCGTGGCAGTATAGCAGCTGCTGAACACCTGCTTGAGCTCTGGCCTCTCTGGCTCTCTCTAAGCCAGCTCTCGCTCGCTCATACGTGAGCCGCCGCTCCCAGCATGCTCACCCTCAACTTGTGCCCACTTTTCACCGTCTTTTCAATGCAGATCCGCTCCATTCACTGCCTATTTGGTATGTTCGGTGCCAGGGTTCACATCCTGACAAGATCGTGCGCTATACAATCTGCCATCTGAATGCATATTTAGGCATAAACACTTTAGCTCAGTTAATTAAATGACCTGTTTTTAGAAATGCATCTATGCAGAGGCATTCCTTTAGTTATTAAACTCCTATATATTCAAATACATTTAGGGAAAATAACAAGGAGGATGTTTAAAGAAAGCGATATCCTTCAGGCCCTTTTCTTTCTGAACTGTTTCAGGTTCAGTTCGGTGACCTTGATGGATGCTTTTAGAACGAGAGCATTACACACAGCAGGAAAAAAAGAGGAAAGTTTTAGTATTAGTTAACCCTTGTTCCTGACGGATACAATGCACTTTATTAGAAATGTAGGCGCTGCGGGATAATATATAACATCAATGTCACTTCTCATTGGATTTGGTTTTCTTTCAGCCCCGGCGCTCAATATTAAACATTATCATCTTCCATCCTCGACACTGGAGGCTTTCACTCTTTTCAGGCTTCTCTTTCGTCTATAATGCTTGCACATTCCTCTTAAGATCAACGGCTTTATAGCTCTGAAGAATCTTTTAACATGCTTTCTGTATGTGGATCTTTGTGTTGGAGCGAGTGGGCTGCTTCATTGTCCCCTGTTTTGTGTTCAGTGCAGGGGGTGACGGTTTCCAATGTCTCATGGTTCGATTTGTATCACGGTCACCGTTTCGAATCAGTATATAGAAATATTTTGTATTATCTTTGTGATGACTGCTAATTAAGATCCCTAAATCGCAAATATTCACTCTCAGTGTCATTACAGGTTAATATGATATGGATGTTATTGCTGTCATTGCGGTAAATGGCACTGAGTTCAACAAAATGTTTTATGGCTTCATTTTAGCATGTGTTTTTTCCTTCAATGTCAAGCGTGTCTTTAGAAATCAATATGATATGCTGATTTATTGCTCAAGAAACATTTCTTATTGTTGTCGATGCTGAATTGTGCGCAATTTGTTTTTGTGGAAAGCATGATCCATCGCCATTCAAAAGTTTCGCTTTTTAAGTCAGCAAGGACACGTTAAATAGATCAAAAGTGACAGTAATGACATATATAGTGTTAAAAAAGGTATTTCAAACTTCCAGTCAGGGATAGTTCACACAAAAATGAAAATGGTGTAATCATTTCCTGACCTTACAACTGCTGAGTTCCTTTCTTCTGTTAAACGCAAAAGACGATATTTCGAAGAATGTTGGAAACCAGTAACCATTGATTTCCATAGTATTTGTTTAAAGTAAGTCAGTGGTTACAGGATTTTGTGTTCAACATAATAACTCATATATGTTTGGAACCACTTGGTTTCTGGGTGAGCTATCCCTTTAAGCAGCTAACAAATTATAAGTGGTTGTTAATAAATCATTATTATTATGATTAAAAATAGTACCAGGGAGTCCACAGGGTTTTATAAAGTCTTAAATTTCCAAAAACATATTTTTAGGCTTTAAAAGGTTTTAAATTCACTGAAATAGTGTGTTGTAGGTCTTAAATCATTTTAAAAAAGGTGTTAATTTTCCTTATTATCCAAGTACAGTTACCCAATCAGGCTGACACTCACCAAATCTCCAACCATTTTTGTTATTGCAAAAAAATACAATCACAACAGCCGTCAGACATTTTTTCTGAAAATTATTTACATTATGAAAATGAATGAATGAATGAATGAAATAATAAATGAATGAATAAACAAATAAAAAAGAAACATTATGTTAAAAAATGATTAAATATGTGGCTAACAATTATCTATTTTTTTAATTTTATTTATATTATTTTATTGTGGAAAGCAAAAAATAAACTATTGGCCGAAAATATCCTTAGTGAGGTCACAAGAATAAGCCTAATGCTGTGTTCACACCAGACGCGGAACGCGCAGATAAATCGCGCTATTCACGCGTAAATAGCCGCGTGAACATTTGAGTTTACCCGCTTCATTCGCGCGTCAAACCCCGCTTCATTCGCGTGTCAAATTCACTTCAGAACAGACGTGGATTCGCTTGATGGGCAGGGCTTCTGTCTGCCCGAAGACTATAGCTTCTTAGCTAAATGGCTAACATGGATTTTATGAAGAAAATAACAGTGTTTATGTGCTTTATGAAGACTGAAAAACAGCGTCGATACGTTTAGGGTTATGTCTGAGTCCACTACATTCTTTCAGAGGTGCATCCAGCTCTGTGAGCTCATAAACGCCTCCAGAAACTTAACCTGGATGACGGAGGCTTTCAGAGGTGCTTCTAACTGAGCCAAGCCGAGTTTGATGAACTGTTGTCGGTGAAGGCTAGAGGATTTCCCTCGGAACACCAACAACAGGTTTTATGTCACAATCACGCCCCCACAAGAGCAAGCTTCTGATTGGTTAACGCGGCGCGAATGTATGCTGAAGTTCAGATTTTCAAAATTGAGAGATTTGCGCGAAACGCTCGTTATGCGCGTCAAACGAACAAAACGCTCAATTCGCCCTGCGCCATTCGCACAATTTGCGTCATTCGCTCCGCGCCATTCGCATGTATCGCGCCGCAGGATGTCTATTCGTGCGTTTGCATTGACTTAACATGTAAATCACTTGTGCTTGACGCGCGTTCCGCATCTGGTATGAACGCAGCATTAGAATCTGAAAATTTCACTGACCAAAGAAGATGTCCCAAGAAGCACTCCGCAGATTCACAGTCAGAGGAAATGAAGGGGTAGAATTTGTTAAGCTTAACACTTAGATGTACTAATGGAGCTAATGTACTACTTTAAATTGGATTAGTTGGTTTCTTGAGTTAATAGAAGATGAATTTATGACCTTGATAGAATCTTTTCAGTGGTTATTGGCAATCTGAATGCCTAAATCTTTCGTCAAGGAATTTTTCAAATACAAGGTAGACCAGTAAATACATCTTTAAAATGGGAAATCAAATTGGATTCATCAGGCGTGTCATGATGGTCTAAAAAGCGTCCTAAATTTGACTTGATGAATCCTGCATAAACCCTGAGTACTTTATTCCAAACTTTCTAGTGATAAAACGTGCTACAAACACATGTGCTGAACCGTGTTACAGAAACCCTTCAACCCCTGACTCACTGTGTCCGTATGTTTTCTGAGTCCTGATTCATTCTGTAAATGCTATTGAAGGATCAGAGCGTGAAGGACAAAGCTCTTCAGACTATGGCCTCCATGTCCTCTGCCCAGATCGTTTCTGCCACCGCCATCCACAACAAGCTGGGACTTCCAGGCATCCCGCGTCCTGCCTTCCCAGGAGCCGCAGGGGTAAGACCGGCCTCTGGCACCCAGCTATCAGTACACTTTACTTCATCCACACGGCTGGCCACCGGGCCGCTTGAGCCAGCTCCAATCCCATTACACACGCCCTGTCACCTGCCTTCATCAGATAAGCCACACTAATGCCACACTCAAGATAACTAGAGCGCATGGCACATCATACACCTCGTTTTTTTTTGTTTTTTTTTGCAATGGCAATGTGATAAACCATGTATCAAAAGTGTGCAGATGCCATGTGTGTATGTGGATAGCCGCTGTTTTCTTTGTCTATTTATTTGTCCAATTCTCTAGTTTTGGCAGGGCATGATACCGACAGGCCAGCCTGGATCCTCCCAAGAGTGAGTATCTCGAGCAAACTTCTGCTTCCATTCCACCTTTTTTTCAACCTATTTTCTGCACTTATTTCACCTTTTTCTTGGTTTTTGCACTTTTTTCTGCACCCCTTCATGTTATTTATTCTTCTTTTTGTCCTTACATTTGCAATTTTCTTCTACTTCTTCAGCACTTGTTTTGTGCAACTCTTGTAAAATATCTCTGTATCTTCTTTTCCAGCTTCTGCAGATTTGCAGCTTCACCTTTAACTTTCTTCTCACTTTCTCCTGTTTTCCTAATGCAATTTTATTTATTTATTTATTTTACTAACTTTCTTTATTGTTTTTTAACCTTCAAACACATTGACCTACAAATTTGGCCCAACAAACACTTACACAACAATTAATAATAAGAGATACAATATACGACCAATGCATAAGAAAGTAAAATAGTAATACATAAATACAATTAGCAAATAATAAAACAAAATAATAAATACAACAAAAAAAATACTGACCTTCAGTTTTAATCTAAATGAGTCTTACTGAGTTATTGGTGTGTTTTGAGCTGAGTGTGCATTAAGCCATTTAGAGTCTCATCTCTCATTCCCTTCAGAGTCAGTTGCGTCACAACATGGCGCATTTGCTATTTACATAGCAGACTTTGTAAGTAGAAAAACTAAATGCTTTACTAGTGAGAAAATAGTTAAACAGACCATCTGCAGCGTGAAGATAAAGAACGAGCCTCTTCCATTTGGCCTCTTTACTTTCTCTTTACTTTTACTCTTTTCTTTACTCCTTTACTTTTGTAGAAGAGGAAACGGAGGAAACTCACTCTACTGAAGACATCTATTAGCCAACATATTTAATTTTCTTTGTTAAGCGCAAAGATTTGTTTCAAAACTATTTCTAAATTCTGTTCTAATTTCCAGCAAACTAATAAAAGAACAATAATAACAACGAAGTGTAGTCAAACAACTAAGTTATATCCAAACACACGTCCTATTCTTATGCCCCATATGTTGATGCAGACATCAGTAAAACTAAACAAATCTAAACTTGTTTTTATTCAAACAAATATTAATATGCATGTAATAAATACTACTGCTAATAACAAAAACTTTAATAAACTGAAAAAAGCCCCCTGATATAAAGACATGGGGTGTAGCAGTTTTTTAATGTAAAAGATAATAATATTTGTAAAATTTTAATACTTTATTATTTTTCATATGTAAAGATTTTTGTGTATTGCTGTACATCCTGTTTGTATTAAGCAATATGTAAGAGATTTGGACCTGCAAAAGTGCATAACTTATGTGCTCTGCACATATCAATGCACCAACAATGCGGCAATTATTAAGTGTAAAAAAATTGTTAAATCTATAATTAAACTTTTAAATAACCACTTTTTTATTGTATGTAGTTTTAAATGAAATTATTACTTCAGTCATTATTGCTTTTATTACTATCACCAATAATAATATTAATAATGATATCTGAAGGATTATGTGACTCTGAAAACTAGAGTAATGAAGATGAAAATGAATCTTTAAAATAACTGGAATAAATGATTAATTAAATGATAAACTTACCTTTATTTTTTAGTGCAATAACATTTCATAATTGTACAATTTGTGCTGTATTTTGATAAAATAAATTCAGAAGAAGCTTATTTAAAATATATAAAATATATAATATATAAAATTATATAACAATCCTACTGACCCTAAATTTTAAACTGGTAGTGTACAGTTGAAGTCAGAATTATTAGCCCCCCTTTTTAATCTTTCCCCAATTTCTGTTTAACCGAGAGAAGATTTTTTAACACATTTCTAAACATAATAGTTTTAACAATCCATTTCTAATAACTGATTTGTTTTATCTTTGCCATGATGACAGTACATTATATTTTACTGAATATTTATAGACACTTCTATACAGCTTAAAGTGACATTTAAAGGCTTAACTAGGTAAATTGGGTTAACTAGGCAGGTTAGGGTAATTAGGCAAGTTATTGTATAACAATGGTTTGTTCTGTAGACTATCAGGAAAAAAATAGCTTTAAAGGCTAATAATTTTGACCTTAAAATGGCTTTTAAAGAATTAAAAACTGCTTTTATACTAGCCAAAATAAAACAAATAAGACTTTCTCCAGAAGAAAAAATATTATTAGATATACTTTGAAAATTTCCTTGCTCTGTTAAACATAATTTAGGAAATATTTAAATAAGAAGAAAAAAATCAAAGGGGGGCTAATAATTCTGACTTCATTTGTATGTCTCTCGTTCACCTTCTTTACCTGAGTTTCCACATTATAGTGCAACGTTATCTCAGCCTTCCCATAATTTCTGCAGCTATTTTCTTACCTTTCCCCCTTTGTACAACAATATAGCTTTCATATTTACAATTTAATGCCTATGCATACTTTATCACTGAATAATTATACATTTATAATTTCTACAATGTATATACATTTTACATATTTATAGTAAGTTATTTATGTAGAGTAAAAATGACAAAAATCATACAGTAAATATAATACAGCTTGAAGCTTAGTGCACACTACAAATCAAGTTCCTTATTCAGCAACTACTCAAAAATGTAGCAGTATCCAGTGCAATTCAAATCCAGGAGGGGAGCAAGCTGGTGTGAAACCAACATTTGTAACTCTCCTTTATTTTTTGTTTATTTATTTATTTATTTTTTTGCTGAGAGTGGCTTGACGACAGACTGATTCAGCAATATTTTGCATTGAACTAAATTTAAAGCCTAAATTTTTTTGGTTCTTTTCCTGCCTGGCAAGAACAGGTATTTCCTTCAGGAAATGCAAACCTTGATTCCCTCACTCTCTGTTCTGTCTGCTGTGTTGTCATTCTCCTTTTCCCGATGTCTATATTTTCCTCGACCCTTTCAGTTTTTTCTCATTCCCTTAGAGGGATCATAGATAAAGCAAGCCTTTCCAGAATGGAGGAAGGGAGGAAGGGGGGGGGGGGTGAATCCATGTTTGAATGCTTTGTGCAGCTTTGTTTCTTCTTTGCTGTGTAACCCTCTTAATCTCTTCAGTATGTAGTGCTTCTTTCCCCAGTCTTAATTCTCCTTTGTCTTTGTTTTAGCATCAAGCCATTTGCTCAGCAAGCGTACCCCATCCAGCCAGCAGTCACAACTACAATCTCAAGTATGTGGGGTTTCCATTGCCATGTCTTTGTTCGCATTCAGATTTATGCCGTCTGTTGTTTAGAAGAGCTAATATTTAAGCCTCCTGTTGATTTACGGATCAAAAATGACACAGGCACCATTTAAACAGGTGAAAAAAAAAACTAAACAATAGCCATGTATCCATTCAAATATGCGAATAAATGTATGCGCAAAACTGGAATTTACATCAAGTATTTGCAAATAAAGCAATTGTTCTATGTAACTAGTCCAAGGCCCCGTTTACACTTTCAGGTCTTGATGGCCAATTCTGATTTGTTGCCTATATCTGATTGTTTTTCCTGTCCGTTCACATGTTCTTTTAATTGTGACCCATATCTGATTCATGTGTTTACACTTGCCATGCAATTTACGACGTTGCACATGCGTAAACGCGAGTTCTAGCATCTGCGCCCCACTAGACACAATGGAAGAAGTCAACCAAAGCTCATTCTGAAAATGTAGCCCCGCGGATGTTTCTGGAGACCGCGATTTACGTGGCCAGAGGTACATATGGCCGCATTTAGTTTCTTCAAGCGAACACTGTGGGGTGGTGTGACACCGCTCCTCTTCACACTCGCCGGCTGGGCTGATGGCTCAGCTCCTTCATGTGGAGGGCTTTCCCGCCGCAACCAGTTTGTCCGGTTAGCTCGTCGAGTTACATTGGCGGAGCGGAGGCCCGGAGGAGGAGAAGGAGCCGGCAGCGTTCGACGAGGAAGAGCGGTTCGATAAATCAGGTTAGACAAAAAACAGAATCCAAACAATAAAGCGAACGAGTTCGTAACGGGGCGAAATCCGAAAACGTGGTCAAAATTGGACGAGGGCTTTTCTTTTTCTGCACGTCTTTCGTAAATCATCGCTTGGGTTTAGGGAAGAAGGAAGAGGAAGAGAAGGAGGATGGCCGGGTTGGCCAATTGGCCGGCCACCCAGTCAATCGTTCAGTCATTCAGCCAGTCGGTCAGTCGGTGGCCTGTGGCGGCTTTTTAAGCGAGAACAGCGCGGGCGCGAACGACACGCACTCGCGAGAGGCGTTTGAGATGCGAAAAAGCGAGCACAGCGACCTCTCGTAGATTCGCGAAAACAAAAACTGCACAAATACGTTCCTCCCGGGAAATATTTTGCGGCCTCCAGAAACGTCCGCGGAGCTACGTTTCCAGAATGAGCCTTGCTTGGAAGAAGTTATCTTGCTTTTAGTTCTGTGAAATATGCGAAGATCGCTCGACTATAAAATGATTTTGAAGCAGAGGAGGAGGAAAAGGGCCGTCATCGCAGCTTGTATCTATGGTTTATATATGGTGTCCTCCACCGTTTAGAGGGATTTGTGGGTACAAAAGAGATCTCAGGTCTGGTGGGAGCAAATTTGGCAACTGACCACTTTCTTTCTCCATGTTTCCTGTTGTTGCATCTGCGTCGGCATCTCCACACACGCTTTTCCTTCTATGTCATTAAACCGCAGAGAAGCACCACATTGTCGCAAGTTTAATGACGTACAAAACAGAACGCCTCACTAAATCCGATCTGCCTGTTTACATGATAGTCGCATTGTCACATATACGATTTATATCTGATTTACTTCCATATATGAAGGAGGTCTAAAACCTCTGAATATCCGAATGCGTGCATTTTTTTTTTCGTGTTTACATGGTCATAGAACAAATTCGTTCTGTCTCACATATGAGCAAAAAATTTAAATTGGGTGACATTTAACTGGCAGTGTAAACGGGGCCCAAGAGAACTAAATTGTCACTTCCTGATAATCTGGCTTCAAATATCAAAGAAAAATGGAAGTTGCTGCATTAGGAGAAGGCTTTTTTTTTTCATATATAATAACTTATTGAGTCTTAGAACACGTAGAGGAAACGCAGTGTGCACAGTCATGTCATCTTGCTTTTGGAGGCAGCAAACAACTCTTTGGGAATGCTCTCAGTCTTGGAAGATTTGCGCAATCCACTGATGTTTTCCATCAAGGATGGTCGTCACTTCTTTCTCTTGTATAACATTCTGAAAATAATCACACCTCACCGTCCACCCAAAAATACCTGTCACTTTCTGACATTTTTGTTAACGCATGATCTGTCAAAATCAAATCACATGACTTTTTTGATGCGCACGTTGGAATTTATTCAGTAATTGCATTTCCTTCATAGTTTATGCACATTTTTTCTTATTGGATAAAAAGTTTATCCTACTCAGAATGTTTTTAATGCACATTTTCAAAATGTATGCGCATCTTGGGGTTTCCACTAGGGTTTTTAATGTGATATTACAAAATGTGCATTAAAATAGGTGAATGGAAAGGTTTTTTTATTTTGAAGTTTGGTGACGTTTTTTTTATTTTTTAAAGACCCCAACATTAAACAAATATATATAATTTTAAATTTTCATATTTTCATGAAGGCTGTACACATATAGGGTACAGTTATGGTTAGGTTATGATTCTCCTTCAGGTCAATTTTGAGCTATAAATCAATTTTTTACACCACAAAAACTACTGACACACACTGGCGTGCACACATTCACACTCCAAAACACACACACAGACGATTCGACTCTACTGCTTTAACTTTTATAAATACTGTCTTGTTAAAATATTATTTTTTAATTACAATTTTAAAATTGTAAAATTGTTAATTTTAATTATTTTAAATTTTTAAAAATACCTTTGCGGGTATTTTTAGCATTAGAAACCTACCTAAACATTAATTTACTTAAGTCAAATTTAACTGATTAAAAAATGGCAAAAAATGCTTAAAATTCTTAAATTAAGGAGCAATTTTCAAAAAGTAAAGCATATTGTCTTGTTTTAAGTAATAAGAAGCCAAAATTAAGTAGGTTTTTCCTTAAAACAGGCTAAATAATATGCCAATCGTGTAAGCAAAATAATCAAAATTTTCCTTTTCACATACAGTTGAAGTCAGAATTAGTAGCCCCCCTGAATTATTTGCACTCCTGTTTATTTTTTTTCCCCAATTTCTGTTTAATGGAGGGAAGATTGTTTCAGCACATTTCTAAGCATAATAGTTTTAATAACTTATTTTTTTAATAACTGATTTATTTTATCTTTGCCATAATGACAGTAAATAATATTTTACTTGATATTTTTCAAGACACTTCTATACAGCTTAAAGTGACATGTAAAGGATGAACTAGGTTAATAAGGTGAACTAGGCAGGTTAGGGTAATTAGGCAAGTTATTGTATAATGATGGTTTGTTCTGTAGACTATCGGGAAAAAATAGCTTAAAGGGGCTAATAATTTTGTCCTTAAAATGGTGTTTAAAAAAATAACAACTGCTTTTATTCTAGCCGAAATAAAACAAATAAAACACCGCGAAATAAAACTTTCTCCAGAAGAAAAAATATTATCAGACATACTGTGAAAATTTCCTTGCTCTGTTAAAAATAAATTGGGAATTATTTAAAAATAAATAAATAAATAAAAAGGGGGGCTAATAATTCTGACTTCAACTGTAAGTTTATTTTGCTTAACCCATTGGCAGATTATTTTTGTTGTTTTAGGGAAAAATTCCCCTAATTTTGATATATTAATTCCATTCTATTAATATTAATATTTTCCTTGTCTAAAAATGCTTCTTGATTTAAGATTTTTGAGATATTTTGTTATATTGCAGTGCATTGATGAAATACCCCACTCTGATGAGAGAAAACCCAGACATTCTCAGAACTTGTGTTGAAGATGAGTTTATTTCCTCATGTAAAATAGATTTGAGGATTGAAATTATATGTAGCTGATTTACTTTAAAGTCAGAGTGAAATCGAAATGTACTTTATTTTGTTATTCTAAAGGTAAATAATTAATCCATACCAAGTAATTCACTGAAAAGAAGTGTTTGTTTTGGTAATCTTCAATGAACGTCTGACCATTTGTTTTCACCTTTGGATTGGCAGTCCTCCTGTTAACTTTAACCTCAGGGTTTCCATAGCAAACGCATACTAATACCCTTCTTACCATTTAGGGAATGATGCAAAAAAAGAAAGCCCCACCCCCTACTCAATGCTCCTTCTCATCAACATACTGAAATAAAAGTCTCTGCAACTTCCAGCTCACGCTGACTTTGAAGGTTTAGAAAGAACTTTTAAGACAACAATGGGATAATTTATATGTGTGTGTGTGTGTGTGTGTTCATGTGTAGGTTATGAGCCTCCGACAGCGCCGGCGCCCACAGTTCCTGCCTGGCAAGGCCGATCCATTGGCACATCTAAACTCAGACTGGTGGAGTTCTCTGCTTTTCTTGAGCACCAGAGAGATCCTGATTCTGTGAGTAGCTTCTGCTTGTCAAAGGGAAATCATAATGGAGACGCTTTACTCGTAACATTCTTGGTCTCGATTCACGATCGACCTTCAGCCTCTGAGTCAAAAGGCAGCCTTAAAAGTGATTGTTTTCAGAAAGGAGTCCTCTAGTATTGACTGAAAATGTCCAATCTCGTATGAAGTCTGGAATGCAACGTCTGCTTTTTACGGTGCTGTCTATTCCTGAAAAATATTGAATGCTTTAGTTAATAGTTTTAATAACTAATTTCTAATAACTGATTTTTTTATCTTTGTATAACAGGACAGTATTTCATTCATTCATTCATTTTCCTTCAGCTTAGTCCCTTTATTCATCAGGGCTCTCCACAGTGGAATAAACCGCCAACTTATCCAGCATATGTTTTACACATCGGATGCCCTTTCAGCTGCATTCCAGTACTGGGAAATATCCATAAACACTCATTTACACACATACACTACGACCAATTTAGTTTATTCAATTTACCTATAGCGCATGTCTTTGGACTGTGGGGGAAACCGGAGCACCCGGAGGAAACCCACGCGGACACAGGGGTAATAAACATGTACTTGCTGTTATTTTGATACGTTTGTCAGTGTCTAACATGTTCTTTGTTGTTGTTTTTCAGTATAACAAGCATCTTTTTGTGCACATCGGTCAGACAAATCATTCTTACAATGATGCCCTGCTGGAGTCTGTGGACATTCGTCAGATTTACGACAAATTCCCTGAGAAAAAAGGAGGGCTGAAGGAATTGTTCGGCAAGGGTCCTCAGAATTCATTCTTTCTCATAAAGTTCTGGGTGAGTGAATCTCTGCTAAGAGCTAGCATCTGTTCAGCTGTTCACAACCTCCTCCTTGAGACAGGCCAATTATCTACACACACACACACACACACACACACACACACACACACAAAGAAATAAGAATAAAACAGACTGAACACAATTAGTGCAGGAAGAACTTTATTTTTTTATTATTTAAGCTTAAAAATAAATTTAAATGAAGGAAGAAACTTGATTTTTTTTCACAGTATTTTTTACAATATTATTTCTTCTGGAGGAAGTTGTATATTTGTTTGTTTTGCTGGAATAAAGGCAGTTTTTACATTTTTTATTCGGTATTATTAGGCCTAAAATTATATATATATATATATATATATATATATATATAGGCTATATATTGACTGGCTACAAAACAATCCACAGGCTTCAGGGTGGACTTTTTTTTATTCCTTTTACAAAATACTTAACTTCAATGAATGCATGATTCTTTGTTGAACTGTAAAACTGGCTATGAAACACTTGATAATGCTTTGAAGTTGATCATTTTTCTTGGGAAGTTTCACATACACAAGGCAAAAGTAATGTCTATTGTGCTCTCTTTAAAATTGTCTGTAAAGATTTTTAAATATTTCATAATTCTTTGACCTTACAAGAAATAAGAAGCCTATAAAATAATGGTCTCAAACTCAATCCCTGGAGGGCCACAGATCTGCAGATTTTAGCTTCAACCACCTCCAAATCACACCTGCTTAATGGTCTGTAATCGTCTTGAACAATCTAAATATTTGGATCAGATGTGTTTGATTAGGGTTGGAGCAAAACTGCAGAGCTGCGGCCCTCCGGGAATTAGGTTTGAGACCCATGCTATAAAACATCTCTCATTATGAAAAATGATCTGTACAATTAAATAAAAAAATATATAAATGATAAATCTGCCCCCCTATTTTTTATTTTGTTTTAGTTATTTTAGTTTTCATGCATGTTTTATATCACTTGCTTATTTCTATATGACTGTTATATATGTCAACAATGCTGTATGCTTTTCAGTATGTTTATATACTTGACAAAAGTGTTGACGTCTATCCAAGTTTTAGGAACAACAAATAATAACTTGACGTGTATTTGATTATTTGGTTTCAGAAGTAGCTTATATGAAAGGCAAAGGCCTCTAGATTTCGCTTATTTCAGCTAAATAAAACGTGATCATGCTTTGATTTATAATTATTTAATTAGGACAGTAAGGTCTGACTTTGCTTAGACAAAAGTCACTTAACAGAAATAATGTACAGTATAGAATATAAAGTCATGCTGCAGTGGAAAAAGAAGGAATAATTGTGTCTGACTCCCATGAGCTGGGAGGACTGCATCCATACATCTCTGCAATGACTCAAATAACTCATTAATAAAGTCATCTGGAATGCCAAAGAAAGCGTTCTTGCGGGACTCCCAGAGTTCATCAAGATTCTTTGGATTCATCTTCAATGCCTCCTCCGTCTTACCCCACACATGCTCAATAATGTTCATGTCTGGTGACTGGACTTGCCAATCCTGGAGCACCTTGACCTTCTTTGCTTTCAGGAACTTTGATGCAGAGGCTGAAGTATGAGATGGAGTGCGATCCTGCTGAAGAATTTGCCCTCTCCTGTGCTTTGTAATGTAATGGGCAGCACAAATGTATTGATACCTCAGGCTGGTGATGTTCCCATCCACTCTGCAGATCTCTCACACGCCCTCATGCTGAATGTAACCACAAACCATGATTCAGTAGGTATTCTGCAGTATTTGTGATGATTGGGATGCAGTTCAACAGATGATTCTGCCGCTTTTCAAAATGAACAACTAGAAGTTATTATTGTTGCTTTTACAACTGGGATCGATTACAACAGTCCACTGTCGTCTAATGACTTGCCTAGTTAACCTAATTACCTAGATAAATTACACTTTAAGCTGAATACTAGTATCTTGTAAAGTACAGGGTTCATACGGTCATGGAAAACCTGGAAAAGTCATGGAATTTTAACATGGCATTTTCCAGGCCTGGAAAAAGTTTTGAAAAAACAGAAAAACCCACAAAGTTTTTAAAAAGTCTTGAAAAACAGATATCTGCATGCTTGAAGATAGGTTATTTACTTCTTTTTTCTTTTTCTATTTTCTAGATTTTCTTTTACCATGCATATGTAGACATTGCATGAAACATAGGGTCATAAAAAACTTACTTGAATGTTTTAGAAAAATCATGGAAAAGTCATGGAATTTTAGTTGTAAAAATGTGTATGAACCCTGAAAGTAACTAGCAACATGTTATATATTAAAGACGAAAGAAATGAGTTTTTAAAATGTTTAAAAACATGTAGAAAAAAACAGGATTTGTGAAATATTATCAAAAAGTATTGAAATGTCACAGGCTGGCTAATAATTATACATTCAACTGTAATTGTCGTGTGTAATGTGCGTCCAAGCTTCAACACTAATGAGAGCAAAATGACCGCAGTTCATGTTTGCCACCCATACAACTGCCTATTTAAGGCAAATATTTATCCACTGGGCGATTACATGCATGAATAATTGTGCGTTTCCCCAAGACACTGGGCCACTTAAAGACAAGTTTTAAAGACAAACAGCGCTGTTTGCATGTCCAGACCGCCGCTATATTTGCCCCAGCATAGCTGAAGAGTCCATGATCAAAGCTCGCACTTATTCCGTTTAATACCGCTAAAACAATTGGATGACCCGGTTGCTCCTCTAATAGCTATTCAAACATTGCATGCATTTTGTGAAATGCTAACTAGCGGCGGCCAACAAAGTGGGCCGCGTTCGTGGTCGGAGCGAAGCTGCTCAGATTCCGTTTGAAGTGACGGCGGGATCTGAATTTCAAATGAAACTCTGGATCTGCACAATAATGCCTCTCTTGAATATGATGTGAAAATGTACCAGGCCTCGTCTTAATGAAAAGAGAGTATGCCAGAAATGAATATTTGAGCTTTCTCGGTAATGAACATCGTGTTAGCTTGCTGAAAGAGCGGAGAGCAGGCTGTTCTTTTTTTCCGCTCTTCTACTGATTTTCTTTTCTCTTTTTTTTTTTTTTTTTTGAGTGGCTTTATACTCTGAGTTATTTAATCTATTCTTTCCAACCTTAGACACACTCGTTTTCTTTAGTACTTAAATAGACTGATATGGAGAAAGAGCCTTGATTGGTGGTTTAGTGTTAAGATAATGGGATACTAAAGGGATTGTTCAACTATTAACGAACATACAGTTGAAGTCAAAATGATTAGCTCTTCTTTTCCAAATGATGTTCAACAGAGCAAGTAATCTTTAACAGTATTTCCTATAATATTATTTCTTCTAGAGAAAGTCTGGTAACACTTTATAATAACTACACACGATAAGTGTTAACTGTACTTTAATAAACATTAGTAAGCAGTTTATAAATGCAGCTACAAAGGCTGTGTTCTTGACTTATAACCACATTTATAATGTGCTTAATAGTTGTACTTTCATACTTGGTATTGCCCTTTCAGCCGCAACCCATCTCTGGAAAACATCTACACGCACTCTTTCACACACACACACTCATACACTACGGACAATTTAGCCTAGCCAATTCACCTGCACCGCATGTCTTTGGAATGTGGGGGAAACCGGAGCACCCAGAGGAAACCCCCGCAAACTCTGGGAGAACATGCAAACTCCACATAGAAATGACATCTGACCCAGCCGAGGCTCGAACCAGTGATCTTCTTGCTGTGAGGCGACAGCACTACCTATTTCAATATTCTTTAAAATATCTTGGTATTTTGGTATAATCTACACCTCTCTGCCAAGTGTTTAGAACATAGGGCTGCTTGATTTTGGGAAAAATCATAATCACGATTATTTTGGTCATAATTGTAATCACGATTATTCAAAACGATTATCTGTTGGATAATGAGGGAAAGATCGTCAATAATGGGCAGAGCTTTCCACCTCTGATGACTAGTACAAAAGGGAGAATGTCAATCAAAGTGTTTCTGTAGACCGTTTTTATCAAGTTTGCCTATAAAAGACAAAACTAATTTATTTTTACCATTAGAAGCTGTTTAAATTCACAGTCTGTTGCCACATAACTGTGTTTAAGCCCCTTATAAAAGTGATTTTTGGATAAAAGGTGCGCTTTAATCTTTAAGTTTGATCTTGAAAGTCTCCACTAGATGGCGGTTGTGTTGTAAATGGTGTATACTGCTGGTTCTGTTCTGTTCTTGGTTCTGATGCAGGTTTATTTTGTATGTAAGTGTTTGAAAACACTTTATACCTTCACATACTAAAAGCTGCAATCTCATTGGTTGATAGGCCGACTTGAACTGCAACATTCAGGATGAGACCGGAGCTTTCTATGGAGTGACCAGTCAGTATGAGAGCCCGGAGAACATGACCATCACCTGCTCCACAAAAGTGTGCTCGTTCGGCAAACAGGTGGTGGAGAAAGTGGAGGTAACTTCTAAGTTAAATACTATACCACACTGTAACAAATTGCTGTAAAATGTACAGTACAACTGGCAATTTTGGTTCCCAGTAATACATGTCCAAGTGCACTTGTGAATTGTGCTGAAAACTTCATTTACAATGCCCTTCAAATCTGCCCACTGGCCTCTGTCCATCCTCCTAACCATCCCCATATCATAATTGGCTTCATCACTTTGTCTCCTCTCCACCAATCAGCTGGTGTGTGGTGTGCAGTCTGGCAAGCCACACAAAAAATGTCTTAAATCTTAAAATGTATTAAATCTCCAAAACAAAATTTTAGGTCTTAAAAAGCCTTATTACGTTTATTAAATTATATATATTTTTGATAGGGCAAATCAAAATCTTTTGTAAAACTTCTTAGTGTTTAGGCCCTGTATGAGTCTAAAATTTCATTCATAATATTCTTTAAAAGTCTTAAATTTGACTTTGTGAAACCTGCAGAAACCCTTTTTAAACATTACTTGTATTTATTTATTTAAATATCTATTTAATATTAATGTAAATATTCCTTATTTTTAGCAGTTGTGCAATGTTTTAATTTTTAGCTAATTTTATAAAAAAATTATTGAATTTTATTTTATTATATATTTAATATTTTATTTTATTATTTTAATAAATATAAAATTTTTATTATATATTTTATTAAGTATATATATATATATATATATATATATATATATATATATATATATATATATATATATAAATATATAATATTTTATTTTTTATATTACATTTTAATTTTTTATATATTGCATTATATATTTTATTTTATTATATATTGTATTATATATTTTATTTTATTATATATTGTCTTATATATTGTATTTTTCATTATTTTATTTATTATTATATATTTATTTTTTATTTTATATATATATATATATTTAATTTATTTGAAATATTTTTTATTATATATTGTATTATATATTTTATTTTGTTTTATTGTATATTGTATTATATATTTTGTTTTTTATTATATTAAATTATATATATATATATATATATATATATATATATATATATATAAATATATATGTATATATATATATATATATATATATATATATATATATATATTAGATATATTATTTTGTTTTATTATATATTTTATTATATTATATTTTTTATTTTATTATATATTTAATTTTTTATTATATATTTTATTTTATTAATCTCTTCTTTTTATTTATTTTTTATTATATATATTTTTTATTAATCTCTTCTTGTCTATCCCCCCAGACGGAGTACGCTCGCTTCGAGAATGGCCGTTTTGTGTACCGAATAAGTCGGTCTCCCATGTGTGAATACATGATCAACTTCATCCACAAACTCAAACACCTGCCAGAGAAGTACATGATGAACAGCGTCCTGGAGAACTTCACCATCTTATTGGTGAGTCTGCATGTCCATCATTAATGATCCAACCAATCACTGAGCTCTCCAAGTGCAGGGAGACAAGCTAGCATTCCTGGGATTCCTGTGGCGCTGTGCAAAGCCTGATAATCTCTTGCTTTCTCCAACCCTCATACACACAGGGATTAGAGCCCTATTCACCCCTATAGCGAGGGTCTTACTAATGCACTTTCCCTGGGCTGTGACTCTCACCTGCGATGGGGGCTTTAGTTGTTGTTATTATAGTAAGACTGAGGGGAGACGTGTGTATATGTGTACTGTATGTGGATTTGAAGAGTGGAGGTGCTAGTATTAACAACAATCACAGGTGATCTGAGCACATACACGGCTAAATGCAGGTGTGAATAGGATCCAACATGTTGGAAATTGTTTAAAGCACTTTTTTGAATAGTAATGTGTGTTTGTGTCAAACACGTTGCTCAATGTATCATTGCAAAAAAACAGGGCTTTAAACATGGTCATTTAAAAGTATGGCTTTTCCAGACAACTGATGAAAATACATAAATAAATAAATAAATAATCCAAAAAACTATTTAAATATTCATTCATTCATTCATTTTCTTGTCGGCTTAGTCCCTTTATTAATCCGGGGTCGCCACAGCGGAATGAACCGCCAACTTATCCAGCACATTTTTATGCAACGGATGCCGCAACCCATCCCTGGGAAACACACACACACACATTTATGCACTACGGACAATTTAGCTTACCCAATTCACCTATACCACATATCTTTGGACTGTGGGGGAAACCAGAGCACCCGGAGGAAACCCATGCGAATGCAGGGAGAACATGCAAACTCCACACAGAAACACCAACTGAGCCGAGGATCTATATATACAATATACAAGACTTTATTAAAAAGACATCCAGAAGCAAAATAATTAAAGGAAATTGAGTAAATAGAAATGCCACTTAAGAATCTGGCTTTTTTACTGGCAAATTAACCCGGGTTTTGGTAAAAACCCAAACAATACAAACAAAAATAAAACAAAACAAAAAATCTAAAAAATGAGTTCTGTGTAATAACAATGAAATAACACAAGGAGAAAGTCCTGAACTGCTGAAACGTATTTAGTACTTCTTATAAAAGGCTTTTTTGGTGATGGCAACTTGAAGACGCCTCTGATGTGGAGAATGAAGTCACATGCATAGCTCAGGTGTGAGTTTTTCAGACTTCAACAAGTGTCAAAATCTTGATGGTTCTGTGGGTCTCATCTATCAAATAAGAGCTTTATTTTGTATTCTCTATTGGACTCACTTCAGGTAATTGGCTGGGCCATTCTACAGCTTGCTTTTCTTTCTCTGAAAGCATTTAAGAGTTTCCTTGGCTGTGTTTTGGATCATTCTCTTGCTGAAATGTCCACCCTGGTTTCATCTTCATCATCCTGCTAATGTAGATGTTGGACTGAAGCAGATAATATTTATTTACAGTAAGGAAAGGCAGAGGATTGCTGAAGAACTACTGAGAGGTTTCAGCTGCTGTCTTTTCATGCCTGTCAGCACCTTCCCTTGTTTATGTGTTTAATACATTTCTCTGTGTCATTTCATTTCATTAAACTAAACTTCAATAAACTAATTAGTAAAGCTGTCACGATCCTCCAAATCCTCGATTCGATTACATTTTCGATTCTAAAGGCACGATTAGATTTTCGATTATGAATAATTAATTAATTAATGACCAATTAATTATTTGTAGCCTACCGTTTAAACTACCTGACCTGCATGGTCTTTGTTTTACCCATAAACAAATCATACAGTAAATTAATAAAGGCAAGATACACGCATAATTACCACCTGTCAATCACTTTTTCTGCGGTACTCGTGAATAGGCAGTGATCTGTGTCGTTATAATGGCGTCAGTAAAAAAGACGCACAACCAACAGAAACCAGCCAACAGTATCTGAGGTGTTCGCTAAAATGACTAAGTACAAGTGAGTGAAAGATTGAAGCAGTCTGTTTATCCTCTGACTGCCTGAACCTGCTCTCTCGAGCGCATGGCTGTGTCACGTGATGTGCATTTTCAGAGGTAGTGAGGAAGGAGGGCTGCTCAGAAATGCTACACGCCACTGTGGATGTCAAATCGTTGTCGTTCTAAAATGCCATTTAAAAACAAAGACAGTGTAAACAGGGCCTGAGTGTGTACTTTTCGCGAGCGGATTTGCAACGGGGGCGGGCGGAGGATCGCGATGCCGGTGTTGTCTATCGGACAAACCGTACTTAATACGTACATAGCAGAGCTTGCAAAACTGTGTTTTTTTTTGTCGACAACACGAACGTTGTCAACATAACTCACTGGAAATCCAAAATGCTTACACACCGGCGACTTCATTGAAAGAGGAGAGGGTTTAAGTTCTGTCGACGGGTCTCCTGCTTCTGCAGTTTAACAAGCACTTCAACTAGCCTGTTTTTTTCCCGCTTGGCAAGCCAAGCTGACGTGACATGGGGGCGTGGCAGCATCGACGATTCTATTTTTTGATTCGATAATCGAAATTGAGCATAAATTTCGATCGATTTCGATTAAAAATCGAAATCGTGACACCCCTACTAATTAGATTTGAAAGCATGGAATAATGAAGCTACAATTTCAGCTTTGCATCACAATAATATATGACTCTTTACAGCGTATTAAACGTTAAACAATTTTAAATTGTCATTTTCCACAACGCATTACTTAGTCAACAAAATGCAAACAAATAAGTCAGTGCAACAAATGATCTGTAAATATTTAATGATTACATATTGTTCACATTATAGCGTAATGACTGCAATACCTTTTGCATCTTAGCAAAGCGAATGGACCTCCAGATTGTGCTTAACTGCTCTAAATCTTCTGCAATAAACCCATCACCCACTCATATTTTAACAGTTTTGCTGTGACTTTGGCTTGAGTGTGAACAGTACAGTAATGCCACACTTCTCGCTCTGTTTCAGGTGGTAACAAACAGAGACACACAGGAGACCCTGCTGTGCATGGCCTGTGTGTTCGAAGTGTCAAACAGCGAACACGGAGCCCAGCATCACATCTACAGACTAGTGAAGGAATGAAGCAGCTCTTTCACACAGACTCTGGACCTCAGTACAGTGGCAGTGCCTCTAGCTCAACACTCACTCAAGATGATTTTACGTCACGTTTGGGTGATGCTTCTAATTATATATATATATATATATATAAATATATATTTTTTCTTTATTAATATGTGTTTGACGTTTAACTGCAGCTGTGAATCGCGGTACAGTTGTGTTTTGTTTTTAACGTGCGGGAAAGAATGTCTAAGAATGCAGAATCAACGTTCATTTGTAGACCTATAAAGCGACAGCATCATTCGACTTAAGGGCTGGGTTGAGTTTCACTGAATCAATCAAACGCCATCATTTCAGTTTTTTTTATTCTGAAAGGTACACAGATGCATACAAGTGCAGCCTTAAATGTGTGTGTGTGTCAGTGAGATGTTGATGTACAGTGGGAACGGAAAGTATTCAGACCCCCTTACAATTGTCACTCTTAATTATATTGCATCCATTTGCTAAAATCATTTAAGTTCATTTTTTTCCTCTATAATTTGCACACAGCAGCCCATATTGACAGAAAAAAACACAGAATAATTGACTCTTAAAGATTTATTAAAAAAGAAAACTGAAATATCACATGGTCCTACGTGTTCAGATCTTTCGCTCAGTATTTAGTAGAAGCACCCTTTTGATTTAATGCAGCCATGAGTCTTTTTGGGAAAGATGCAACAAGTTTTGCACATATGGATTTGGGGATCCTCTGCCATTCCTCCTTGCAGATCTTCTTCGGTTCTGTCAGGCTGGATGGCAAATATTGGTGGACAGCTGTTACGTAGCGAATTGCACCACGCTACGCACTTAAGGATAAGGATGACCGTCTATTAAAAGAGGTCACCCGGAGTCCCAGTTTCTGCTCCCCAAGCAAATACCCGTCAACCCTCTTGTTTTTCCCGGGATTCTCCCGTATTTTACAGTTCTATCCCGCTATCATCCAGTAAAGGTATTTTCCCATATTTCTCCAGTATTTTCAGTCTTTCAATGAAACGGTGGCAAGAAACATTTAAGAGCCGAGCCTCCCTATACGCAACCCATACCACCGAACCACCAGGGGCCGCCACTTGCTCTTCAATGTGAGTCTGTTCAGTGCTTTTGCTTCGTTTAGGCACAAAAACACTGAGAAATAAAAAAAAAAGGTGCGATTCCCTTTCTTTTTATTACAGGAGCCGTCACCCCTCCTATACAATCCTCAAAACAGTCATATAATGGTGCATGACTGTCAGCTGACAGGCTCTATAGTGATGAATAGACGCTGAATCCCAAACAGATTCTGTACACGCAATTTGAAGCGGAGCGACAGTCTGGCTTTTGGGTGCATGTATGACCAGACATATACACATAATTAATAATGATAATTATAATAATATCAAAACATGTCGATCTTGGTGTTTTTTTTGTTTGTTTTTTTTAAACACAACTAATTTTATCTTAAATGAGCGTAAAAAGTTAGGAAAGCAGTCGAATGCCTTCATTCTCTTATTATGGTGGGTATATCCCTTATTTTCACATGCCAATGTTGACAGGTATGCAAGCACGCACACACAGGCCAAGTTGTCAAAAAAGGGTAACAGATTTATTAAGCAAATATTTCCAGTATCAAAACAAGGGAACAAAAGGCCAAAACAACAAACAAAACAAGGTGAGCTACCTAATATGGGATTTCTTACCTAAACCGAAAATAAAGTTATGAAAATGAAACAAGCAGTTCTACCCTCCATCACTATTTATTAAACAGGAGAAAACGTGACAAAAGAAAAAGGCCTTCCCTTAGACCATTCAGCAGTAAATAAACATTCAGCCACAGCGAACGGAATACCGTCCTATTACCGTATTCAACACAGTATCTCACCGAATGACATTGGAAAAGGGTTGATGACAGGAAAGAAACGATCAGCCACCGCTAGTGCAAGTTACCATCCTATTTATTTAATAGAATATCTCACCAGATGTCTTTGGAAAAAGGTTTCAGACAGAAAGATATCACTGCCACCCAGAGAACTTAGAGTGATCTGCTCACACACACACACAACAGCGAGGGGAAACAGGAAGAGAACTCAATGAACATCGCCAATAACGTGCTTTTTTTTTAATTGGCGCTGCCCCTCTCACAGCTGCACCTGATCATTAGAGATTATGACATAATGGAGGATACAACACACAGGAACAATACACAACAGCATTGTTGAAATAAAGTTACACAATATGAAACAACAGGCCTTTTTAGGTCTCTCCAAAGATGCTCGATTGAGTTTAAGTCTGGGCTTTGGCTGGGCCATTCAAGAACAGTCTAGTGGGCTGTGGTAAAGCCAGTCTTTCATTATTTTAGCTGTGTGCATAGTCATTGAATTGTTGAAAGGTTTATCTGAGGTCCTGAACACTCTGGAGAAGGTTTTCGTCCAGGATATCCCTGTACTGGGCCGCATTCATCTTTCCCTCGATTCCAACCAGTTGTCATGTCCCTGCAGCTGAAAAACACCCCCACAGCATGATGCTGCATACTTTCCGTACCCACTGTATATACGATTTCACATATATACAGTGCTCAGCATAAAAAAGTATTCATTTTTGAGTGATTATATCTAATAAATTAAGGGTGGATTCAAACATTTTTATTGAATATTCATTAAAATATGAGTTTGGCCACCTTATAATCTTTTGGAATTGAAAGATAAGTCAAATTTAAACTAATTATTGCAAAAACTACACAATTTAAATTAATTTTATCTATATTTTATGTTGTGTTTCTATTTAGTTTTCCTGCTTGTTTAAGTTGTGTTTTTATTTTCACCCAACATATTAATTTCAGTGTACTAAATTTTGGACTCTGATCTTGTAAAGTATTTATTTTTGGTTGTTAGATACCACACAGGCTCTTTCTGAAAACGTAGCCCTATATACATTTCTGGAGATCATAAATTATGTAGCCAGAAGTACGTATGGCTGCATTTTGTTTTTAAACGAATGCTATTGGAAGGTATGATGCCATTCCTTTCCGCGCTTACCAGCTGACCACTTATCTCTGTATGGACCAGTTTCCTGCTGTTACCAGTTTGTCCAGTAGCTCGCCATGTACATCGGCGGGTCTGAGATGCAGTTTGAGTCTGACAAAGAACAGTTCCAGAAAGCAGGTGAAAGAAAAACAGAAGCCAAAAAAAATAATTAAAAAAAACAAGTAAATAACAGTGTGGGAATGTCGTAAAATCTGTTTTCTCGATTGGATTTAGGAAAGTGGGTGGGTGGGTCAGTCAGTTGAAAATCAGTCGATAGCAGCCTCCGGTGGATTTACGAAAGAACAGCTGGCGCAAAAGTCACTCGTGATCTCAAAAAGCGTACACAGCGGCCTCTGGTGGATTCGCGAAAACAAAAACTGCAAAAAAACGTAGCTCCTGGGACGTACTTGGCGCTCTCCAGAAATTTATATAGCGGTACGTTTTCAGAATGAGCCTGGGTTGTTTAGATTAGTTACAGTTTTGTCTTTGGTATTGACTAGTCTAATGTATATTCACAAATATATTATGGTAAAGCATCATATAAATACAATATTAATTTAAAAGGGATATCTGTGAGGGGTCTACTCATTTATGCTGAGCTCTGTATGTATTTTTATTCCCCCCAAAGAAAAAGTATTCGAGAAATGTCAATCTGTAACAGTGATCTGTTGAAAAGAAACTGTAGGTGTTTAAGAAAGAAAAAAGGAAGAGAGAGAAAAGATTCTTGTGGCCATCAGAAAACAAAACGTTTCTGCATTCCAAACATTCAGAGAAATCAGAAGCCCAGCCCTTGAAAATCACTTTGTACACACTACTCTTTTATTTTATTTCAATATTTCATTGAGGAATTACTGCACTGTGATATGAGAAGTTTCTACCAACCTGTGTCTGTTTTCACGTGTCACCACCTGCAATAAGAAAATACAGAGAATCAATTTCTTACTGCACATCTGAACGCCGACATGCTTGTGTAAAAGATAACTGTAGAAAAAAAAAAAAACGAGAAGCACTGCATTAACTACCAGGGGTGTTGATGGATAATCCGTCAGCTTGACCTGAGCACTTGGATCCACTCGTCGGACATGTTTTGCCGCTGGGGAAACTTCACAAAAGCCCATCCCCTGTACGTCACGGAGCTCTCCGTCATCTTCTGTAAGAATCAGTCGTGTCCCAGAGTCCTTTGCTGCCTTTTACATTTCCACACAGCCCATGTCTCTGTGGCCTAATCGATTTTTTCAAGCCTTAACAATGGTTGTGTGAACTCCAAAAAAAAGATGCCACTAAAGCTGTGAGCTCTTTCCTAAGCTGGAAGACTTTCTTGTTATTGTCACGTTGTAGGAATTGTACAGTACAAACCTGCCAAAGTGTAACAATATACAGCACAGTGCCTTAGTGTAGAAGTGAAGGCGAATGATGAGCGCAGTCGTTTTTTGGGGGGGATGTATCGCTAAATGGTGCAGTCACATTCATGAAATTTCAATATAAAAACAAAAAAAATAAGTGTTTGTGGTAAAAGAGTCTGTATATACTGTAGAATTCATAAACTAGTGTTAATAGGCAAAATGTGACCACATTATTCTTTTTTAAACACCTCACCTTGGACTGAATGCAATCGACTATCAAAGCTAAAGACTATCGAAAGAATATATAACTTAAAGGGGCTAAAAATTTTGATAGTAACTGCTTTTATTCTAGTTGAAATAAATGAAATAAGACTTTCTCCAGAAGACAAAATTTTATCAGACATACTGTGATAATTTCTTTGCTCTGTTTAACATCATTTGGAAATATTTAAAAAAGAAAAAAAATCAATTGCGGGGCTAATAATCCTGACTTTAACTGTATGTATGTATATATATATAACAGTTCTGTCTGGTTCTCGAATCTGATTGGCTGGTAGCCGTGATATATTTAAGTAATATCAGCACCCGTACAGCCTCTTTACCCTTTGTGTATTACTCCGCCCACATACAACCAGCAACCAGCACTACAGATCTAAAGTTTAAAAGATGCTTGCTCAGCTGTTTAACTGTCAGCTTATGATTTGAATCCAACGCGGAAGAAAGTAGTTCCTCGAACAAAAGGGTTTTTTGAGACTCTCCATGTTTGATTTTGTTTTTATATACACAATTATGCCGCGAACTGTTGTATAAACAATATCACACTCGTAGCAGTGTGATATGGGTGTATATCGGCACTGGTGGGGGCACTAAGGCACTCGGCCTGCGGCCTCGTGCCAACGCACGCCTCTCAACAGTGCCGATATACAGCCATATCGCACAGCTACTCGTGTGATATTGCTCATATACAGTATATATATATATATGTGTGTGTATATATATATATATATATATATATATATGTATATATATATACACACATATACACACACACACACACACACACACACACATAAATGTGAGCAAAATCGCATGAGTAGCACTGCGTTATGGCTGTATATCGGCACTGGTGGGAGGCGTACGTTGGCTCAGGGCCACAGACCAAGTGCCTTAGTAATGATATACAGCCACATCACAGTGCTACGAGTGTGATATTGCGTTTATATAAAGTTCGATGGCATGATCATGTATATAAAAAGAAAATCAAACACGGAGAGTCTCAAAAACCCTTCTGTAAGAGGCACTACTACATTCTTCCGCCGTTTATACAAATCTGCAGCTGACTTCAGAACAGCAGAAACCGTTATTACTTCACAAGCGTCGCTTTAGAACAAATATTTGAATGATTCTCTAGTGTAATATCTAAAATGATGACAAAACAGGTGATTTTACTCACATTTCAATGCTGAACGACATTAAACGGCATCAGTCTACAGAGATATCCCAGTAGTTCTGTTGAAATCGGGGGATCAAAATAATTTACCATGGCCTAAAACAGCATGCTGAACACTGCTGGCCGGTGTGGGGCAGCATAACCTTTTTTTTTAGCTCAAATTTCTGGCAAAAATCAGGCGATCATTTTTGGTGGTTGAAAATTTGGTGCATCCCATGTCTTCATTAGTGCTGTTGTTTAGTCTTTTTGTTTAGTGCTGACATCTTGTGGACAAACTAATTAGTGCAAAAACGATTCCAAGCACACGTGCAAGCTGCTCATACATCTTTTTTTTTTTTTTTTATTGTGCGGTGCACATAAAGTAAACGTGTTTTAGTAATTACAAATTACACATACAATGACACATTAAAAAGATAAATAATCGCCTAAATGTTTTCAGACACAGTTGTTTACAAGATTTCTCCACACTGACCAAACGAAAGCTGATTTATTCATCTCATCCATACTGGCAACATTTTTGCCATTAAAAAGATTTCGCTGCAATTTCGCGAATGTGACTGCACCTTAAAAACTGATGTGTCATCTTTATAAGAGCACTGGCCATTTGGCTGACCTTTTAACTCTCAGAGACATATTAAGACATACAGTATGTAAACTCTCCAATGCCTTTCATATCCGAAAAAGACCAAAAAGTTGAAGGAGGATCCTCCTGGAGCTCCTCGTTATGTCCTGCACTGTAGCATGAAAGTGCCTTTGGTTCCGATTTTTCCAGCTTAGAAAAGACTTATGATGATCAAAAACCAAAAAAAAAGAAAAAGTGGAAAAATATTCACCACATTGCCTTCAT